GGGACCCCGAAATGTCACCCATGGCGGGGGGTGAGGTGGGGGGGCTGTATTGCCCCCCAAACTCAGCCACGGGGGACACATCACCCACGGCGGGGGTTTTGAGGAGGTGGGGGGCTGTACTGCCCCCCAAACTCAACCGTGGGGGACCCCAAAATGTCACCCATGGTGGTTTTGAGGAGGTGGGGGCTGTATTACCCCCTAAACTCACCCTTGGGGGACCCCGAAATGTCACCCATGGCGGGGGGTGAGGTGGGGGGGCTGTATTGCCCCCCAAACTCAGCCACGGGGGACACATCACCCACGGCGGGGGTTTTGAGGAGGTGGGGGGCTGTACTGCCCCCCAAACTCAACCGTGGGGGACCCCAAAATGTCACCCATGGTGGTTTTGAGGAGGTGGGGGCTGTATTACCCCCTAAACTCACCCTTGGGGGACCCCGAAATGTCACCCATGGCGGGGGGTGAGGTGGGGGGGCTGTATTGCCCCCCAAACTCAGCCACGGGGGACACATCACCCACGGCGGGGGTTTTGAGGAGGTGGGGGGCTGTACTGCCCCCCAAACTCAACCGTGGGGGACCCCAAAATGTCACCCATGGTGGTTTTGAGGAGGTGGGGGCTGTATTACCCCCTAAACTCACCCTTGGGGGACCCCGAAATGTCACCCATGGCGGGGGGTGAGGTGGGGGGGCTGTATTGCCCCCCAAACTCAGCCACGGGGGACACATCACCCACGGCGGGGGTTTTGAGGAGGTGGGGGGCTGTACTGCCCCCCAAACTCAACCGTGGGGGACCCCAAAATGTCACCCATGGTGGTTTTGAGGAGGTGGGGGCTGTATTACCCCCTAAACTCACCCTTGGGGGACCCCGAAATGTCACCCATGGCGGGGGGTGAGGTGGGGGGGCTGTATTGCCCCCCAAACTCAGCCACGGGGGACACATCACCCACGGCGGGGGTTTTGAGGAGGTGGGGGGCTGTACTGCCCCCCAAACTCAACCGTGGGGGACCCCAAAATGTCACCCATGGTGGTTTTGAGGAGGTGGGGGCTGTATTACCCCCTAAACTCACCCTTGGGGGACCCCGAAATGTCACCCATGGCGGGGGGTGAGGTGGGGGGGCTGTATTGCCCCCCAAACTCAGCCACGGGGGACACATCACCCACGGCGGGGGTTTTGAGGAGGTGGGGGGCTGTACTGCCCCCCAAACTCAACCGTGGGGGACCCCAAAATGTCACCCATGGTGGTTTTGAGGAGGTGGGGGCTGTATTACCCCCTAAACTCACCCTTGGGGGACCCCGAAATGTCACCCATGGCGGGGGGTGAGGTGGGGGGGCTGTATTGCCCCCCAAACTCAGCCACGGGGGACACATCACCCACGGCGGGGGTTTTGAGGAGGTGGGGGGCTGTACTGCCCCCCAAACTCAACCGTGGGGGACCCCAAAATGTCACCCATGGTGGTTTTGAGGAGGTGGGGGCTGTATTACCCCCTAAACTCACCCTTGGGGGACCCCGAAATGTCACCCATGGCGGGGGGTGAGGTGGGGGGGCTGTATTGCCCCCCAAACTCAGCCACGGGGGACACATCACCCACGGCGGGGGTTTTGAGGAGGTGGGGGGCTGTACTGCCCCCCAAACTCAACCGTGGGGGACCCCAAAATGTCACCCATGGTGGTTTTGAGGAGGTGGGGGCTGTATTACCCCCTAAACTCACCCTTGGGGGACCCCGAAATGTCACCCATGGCGGGGGGTGAGGTGGGGGGGCTGTATTGCCCCCCAAACTCAGCCACGGGGGACACATCACCCACGGCGGGGGTTTTGAGGAGGTGGGGGGCTGTACTGCCCCCCAAACTCAACCGTGGGGGACCCCAAAATGTCACCCATGGTGGTTTTGAGGAGGTGGGGGCTGTATTACCCCCTAAACTCACCCTTGGGGGACCCCGAAATGTCACCCATGGCGGGGGGTGAGGTGGGGGGGCTGTATTGCCCCCCAAACTCAGCCACGGGGGACACATCACCCACGGCGGGGGTTTTGAGGAGGTGGGGGGCTGTACTGCCCCCCAAACTCAACCGTGGGGGACCCCAAAATGTCACCCATGGTGGTTTTGAGGAGGTGGGGGCTGTATTACCCCCTAAACTCACCCTTGGGGGACCCCGAAATGTCACCCATGGCGGGGGGTGAGGTGGGGGGGCTGTATTGCCCCCCAAACTCAGCCACGGGGGACACATCACCCACGGCGGGGGTTTTGAGGAGGTGGGGGGCTGTACTGCCCCCCAAACTCAACCGTGGGGGACCCCAAAATGTCACCCATGGTGGTTTTGAGGAGGTGGGGGCTGTATTACCCCCTAAACTCACCCTTGGGGGACCCCGAAATGTCACCCATGGCGGGGGGTGAGGTGGGGGGGCTGTATTGCCCCCCAAACTCAGCCACGGGGGACACATCACCCACGGCGGGGGTTTTGAGGAGGTGGGGGGCTGTACTGCCCCCCAAACTCAACCGTGGGGGACCCCAAAATGTCACCCATGGTGGTTTTGAGGAGGTGGGGGCTGTATTACCCCCTAAACTCACCCTTGGGGGACCCCGAAATGTCACCCATGGCGGGGGGTGAGGTGGGGGGGCTGTATTGCCCCCCAAACTCAGCCACGGGGGACACATCACCCACGGCGGGGGTTTTGAGGAGGTGGGGGGCTGTACTGCCCCCCAAACTCAACCGTGGGGGACCCCAAAATGTCACCCATGGTGGTTTTGAGGAGGTGGGGGCTGTATTACCCCCTAAACTCACCCTTGGGGGACCCCGAAATGTCACCCATGGCGGGGGGTGAGGTGGGGGGGCTGTATTGCCCCCCAAACTCAGCCACGGGGGACACATCACCCACGGCGGGGGTTTTGAGGAGGTGGGGGGCTGTACTGCCCCCCAAACTCAACCGTGGGGGACCCCAAAATGTCACCCATGGTGGTTTTGAGGAGGTGGGGGCTGTATTACCCCCTAAACTCACCCTTGGGGGACCCCGAAATGTCACCCATGGCGGGGGGTGAGGTGGGGGGGCTGTATTGCCCCCCAAACTCAGCCACGGGGGACACATCACCCACGGCGGGGGTTTTGAGGAGGTGGGGGGCTGTACTGCCCCCCAAACTCAACCGTGGGGGACCCCAAAATGTCACCCATGGTGGTTTTGAGGAGGTGGGGGCTGTATTACCCCCTAAACTCACCCTTGGGGGACCCCGAAATGTCACCCATGGCGGGGGGTGAGGTGGGGGGGCTGTATTGCCCCCCAAACTCAGCCACGGGGGACACATCACCCACGGCGGGGGTTTTGAGGAGGTGGGGGGCTGTACTGCCCCCCAAACTCAACCGTGGGGGACCCCAAAATGTCACCCATGGTGGTTTTGAGGAGGTGGGGGCTGTATTACCCCCTAAACTCACCCTTGGGGGACCCCGAAATGTCACCCATGGCGGGGGGTGAGGTGGGGGGGCTGTATTGCCCCCCAAACTCAGCCACGGGGGACACATCACCCACGGCGGGGGTTTTGAGGAGGTGGGGGGCTGTACTGCCCCCCAAACTCAACCGTGGGGGACCCCAAAATGTCACCCATGGTGGTTTTGAGGAGGTGGGGGCTGTATTACCCCCTAAACTCACCCTTGGGGGACCCCGAAATGTCACCCATGGCGGGGGGTGAGGTGGGGGGGCTGTATTGCCCCCCAAACTCAGCCACGGGGGACACATCACCCACGGCGGGGGTTTTGAGGAGGTGGGGGGCTGTACTGCCCCCCAAACTCAACCGTGGGGGACCCCAAAATGTCACCCATGGTGGTTTTGAGGAGGTGGGGGCTGTATTACCCCCTAAACTCACCCTTGGGGGACCCCGAAATGTCACCCATGGCGGGGGGTGAGGTGGGGGGGCTGTATTGCCCCCCAAACTCAGCCACGGGGGACACATCACCCACGGCGGGGGTTTTGAGGAGGTGGGGGGCTGTACTGCCCCCCAAACTCAACCGTGGGGGACCCCAAAATGTCACCCATGGTGGTTTTGAGGAGGTGGGGGCTGTATTACCCCCTAAACTCACCCTTGGGGGACCCCGAAATGTCACCCATGGCGGGGGGTGAGGTGGGGGGGCTGTATTGCCCCCCAAACTCAGCCACGGGGGACACATCACCCACGGCGGGGGTTTTGAGGAGGTGGGGGGCTGTACTGCCCCCCAAACTCAACCGTGGGGGACCCCAAAATGTCACCCATGGTGGTTTTGAGGAGGTGGGGGCTGTATTACCCCCTAAACTCACCCTTGGGGGACCCCGAAATGTCACCCATGGCGGGGGGTGAGGTGGGGGGGCTGTATTGCCCCCCAAACTCAGCCACGGGGGACACATCACCCACGGCGGGGGTTTTGAGGAGGTGGGGGGCTGTACTGCCCCCCAAACTCAACCGTGGGGGACCCCAAAATGTCACCCATGGTGGTTTTGAGGAGGTGGGGGCTGTATTACCCCCTAAACTCACCCTTGGGGGACCCCGAAATGTCACCCATGGCGGGGGGTGAGGTGGGGGGGCTGTATTGCCCCCCAAACTCAGCCACGGGGGACACATCACCCACGGCGGGGGTTTTGAGGAGGTGGGGGGCTGTACTGCCCCCCAAACTCAACCGTGGGGGACCCCAAAATGTCACCCATGGTGGGGGTTTTGAGGAGGTGGGGGGCTGGATCGCCCCCCAAACTCAGCCGTGGGGGACCCCGAAATGTCACCCATGGTGGGGGGTGAGGTGGGGGGGCTGTATGGCCCCCAAACTCAGCCGTAGGGGACCCCAAAATGTCACCCATGGTAGTTTTGAGGAGGTGGGGGGCTGTATTGCCCCCCAAACTCAGCCGTGGGGGACACATCACCCACGGCGGGGGTTTTGAGGAGGGGGGGGGCTGTACTGCCCCCCAAACTCAACCCTGGGGGCCCC